GTGTGTGTGTGTGAGATCGAGGAGCCGGTGAAAAAAACTGATGAATGTATTCTTAGTGTTTTGGGGGCCAGATTCACGGGTAAGAGGGGCAAAAAGCAGGCGGTCGATCGAGACGTCGGTGAATGAAAAAACTGATGAATGGATCTGACCCTACTTGTGGCCAGATTCGGCCGGGAAACTGCAGCAGATGACAAGCATGCATGCCCCCCACCGCTCTAATCAGCGCGCACGCTTCTCGGCCCTACTTGTGGCCAGATTCGGCCAGGAAACTGCAGCAGATGACGAGCATGCATGCCCCCCGCCGCCGCACCCCCCCTTTCTAATCAGCGCGTACGCTCCTGTCTCTCCCCCTTCTCCTACTATTCCCATGATCCCCTAATCACCGCGGACGGTCCTCCCTCCCCCTCTTTCCTCCCCCTCCCCTTCCCCCTCCCCCTCCCCCTCCCTCTGCCCCTCGCACTCGTTTTTTCTTCTTCTTTGAAAACCGAGAACTTTGTTCCCATAATCCCCTAACCACCGCGGACGGTCCTCCCTCCCCCCCCCAGCTTCACTTATTTGTGTGCTGCCTGGAGCTCAGCCCACAGAATGAGCACACAAGCACAATCTCATGCCCTACCTACAAATGAGACCCCAATCATCTGCTGCTACAGTCCTCAAGCAAACCAAATCTGTTAGTAAGCTGAAACAAACTTGCGAACCAAGGGGCCCAGCTCAGTTGGTACACCCACGAAATATTGTAATGTAGACCCAAGTTCGAATCCTTCTCGAGCAAGATCAAGGCAATGAAATAATTATGCATTACCTGGGGGGGAAAAGAAACAGGGACTCGCCAGAAAAAAAGAAAAAGACCTAACCAGTTGTAGTGTGGACCCCCACCAAGCCCCAGGGGCACGGGTCATGGCCTATTTGGACCTGTGCGGCACTGTAAGAAAAGGAAGAAAATTAATTTTAAAGACTTAAAAAAAAGAAAAATGGCGACGGTACATTTCCCAAGATGGGAAGAAGTCCGACTTTTGAAAGTGCAGCCCTCCCACTAACCCTCCCGTCTCCACCCTCTGCTCCCCACCCAGCCAACACCTAATCAGGACAGAGTGGTACGTGACTGTTGCAGTCTCGCATACCACCTCGAGGGAATCCCTTTGTGTGCCTGATGGGACTCCCTCCTCTGACGGTTGCCATGCTGAAGCGTGCATTTCGTATATTTTGAGAGAATCGAAGTACTGGATGGGGTTAACAATTGACCCAGAAAAAGAAGGGGGTCAAAATTATGCCCTT